TGTTCTGGGAGCTGTAAGGGTGAAAAGATAATGGATGTTCTTAATTTCAAGTTTACAGTCTACTGGTAGAAAAGGCAGGTGTTATACATATGAACAAATAAGCAAGGTAGGTGTAGGTAGTGATAATTTCTCCCGGGCCCTAAGGATGTCTCTCTTCCACCTTCCAGAAACTAGTAGGGGCCAGCAGGTTAGGAGCCATCGATCCTGAGGGGATCCAGTAGTCTGTTAGTTGCCCCGGGATGTTATGTGTGGCTGACACATACAAATTTTCAGGTTTAGTATTTTATCCTTTTGGTTAAATATATATCTCATTTAAGTTACAAATGCCTGGGGTGCTACTTTTAGCAAGTTCATAAAGAGGAAATGTCATACTATCTAGAAGAGAGGTCTTAAAATAAGTTATGTTTATCTAAGAAAGGAGGTGTATGTTCTTGAACAGAAAATTTTCTGGGCATAGATGATTATGCAGTTACACAGATAATTCTCATCTTAAAACATTATTTTAAGATTGGTCACGTGATAGAGTAATAGATCAAGTCATAGGCAGAATACCAGTGCAAGAATTGGAAATATAACCTCAAGTCACCACCTTTTTTGCATCACGGGTATATATTCCTCTGTTTGTCCCTATTTGTGAAAAATAATTAAAATTTGATCTGCTTTTAATTACACTTGGTAGACTGGTTCTCTTTGTATACAGTTTTATGTTTAGAGATAATTACATGGAGGCTTTCCTTCTATTGGGTTACATATGATTTTTCACCTTTCTCTGTTACTCTAGCAAAGAGTTCTGACGTGGAGAATTTTAAATTCAGGAGTTGTGGAAGATTATATTTTTATACATGACAATTGAAAGACAAATATATCTTCAAATTTTCTAATCAACCACAGGTCAGTTATATACCAGAAAAACATGGTATGCCTTAAAGTTAAATTTTGTCAGTACTTTTCACTGGATTCATGAAAAAGTTAGATACTAAAAATTCTTGGCAAAATGCAAGGGGATCAATAGATTAAAGACAATCTAAAATTGTGAATTTAGTAGTCACATTTGAATTCACTATGTATTTAATAATTCATTTTTGATAATTATATGTTCAATAACTCAACACATTGAATATAATAATAAGCTCCTTGGCACCATATTGCCTGACCTTTAAAGCCTCAGCCTACTAATAGATTGTTCAGGGAGTATAATGCACATTATCCTGTCCCAATTCTATTACTCAAGAACTATACACAATGGAATGAAAGAGGGAGAGCATTAGGATAAATAGGTAATGCATGCAGGGCTTAATACCTAGGTGATAGGCTGATAGGTGCAGCAAAACACCATAGCACGTGTTTACCTGTGTAAGAAGCCTGCACGTCATGCACATGTATCCTGGAACTTAAAATAAAAACAAAATTTTTTAAAAAAAGAATTCAACAATTATGCATGCTGTCTTTAACATTTGGTATATTTTTATATTTCCCTACTCCATGCCAAAAGTACATTCATGCATCTCCGAAACAACCAAGTCGCATCTTTTTTCCCTCTAAATTAAATTATCAGGGCAGATGTCTCGTTTCTGTACTTACTTTGCCTGAGTAGAAAAGGCAACTCTGAGAGTGCTATGTGTGACGTGTCTGGGAAAGCTACATAGGGGAAGCAAACACACCTGTTATGGAAACACCTGTGGCTCTTCCCAAGGAGCGCAAGAAGCACTTGTGTGTCAGCAACAGATGGTGTTCCACCCGTAACCACCGAGTCATGCCCATTTGTCCAGTGTAGTACAATTGCACCCTCTGAATCTGCTCTCTTTTGATTCCATGATCATATTGGAATAATAGGCTACAGCATTCCTGTGGGAAATATACTGTGCACCACAGTGGTTCAAACTGTATACTAGAATTTAATAAGTAAAATCCTGGAATAACCAACTTGATTTAACATATGTCCTAATGACCCCTTTGAATCTCATATACAGTTCTTGTAAAATGATCCGACTGGCATTCCTGGAGGAGTCCATAGATTATGTAGTGTATTAGCCTGCTTAAGTTGCCTTAACAAGATACTGGGTAGCTCAAATGACGTAAATCCCTTTTCTCACTGTTGTGGAGGCTAGAAGTTCAGCATCAGGATTCCGGCATGAACAGATTCTAGAGAGGGCCCTCTTCCTGGCTCCTAGATTACTTCCTTTTACTGTGTCCCTACCTGACAGAGAGGCTGAGAGAGAGAGAGAGAGAGAGAGAGAGAGAGAGACAGAGAGAGAGAGAGAATAAACTCACCAGTCTTATTGGATTAGGTCCCACCCTAATGACAATGACCTCATTTAACCTTAATTACCTTTAATATTCCATCTCTAAATAAAGGCTCTATCTCCAAATACAGTTAGATTGTGGGGAAGTGGTTGGGGCTTCAAATGTGAATTCTCGGGAGGCACAATTCAGTCAATAGGATATAGATATGTGAGGATTAAGTGATTAAAATGTCAAAATTTTTTTGAAGGCCTATTCAAGAAAAGTCACTTAGGGATTTCATTTACTTTAATGAAAGTCACAGGTTTAAAATGTGATTTTAACCCAAGTGACATTTTCTTTAACTCAAAACTCTCTAAAAGTTCTGGGTCAAGTATTATCATTCATTGAATAATTTTTTCCTTGGTTTGAAAATTAGTGAAGGGTAATGGGAGCTTGGGGCGAGTTAGGGAGGGGAAGGGGTGCAATCTTAGTGGGGAAGAGGGAGGAGCATAATGGAAAGAACATTTGGTGCAATACTGGCTGAGTTTTAGCTCAGATTTAATCTTTCTAAGTTTTATCAGTCAAATGGAGACTGGTAACTACTTTTTTTAAAAGAAGTTTTGAGGTGATTGACATAATTTTGTATATTATGGGGTGCAATGTGAATTTTTGATACATGTATACCTTGTGGAATGAGCAAATCAGGCTAATTAGCATATTCATTCCCCCAAACGATCATTTCATCTTGGTAAGAACAATTAAAATTCTCTTTTTTTAGCTATTTTGAAATATATAATACATTACTATTAACTGTGCAGCAGAATGCCAGAATTACTGCTCGTGTTTAACTGAAACTTTGTATCCATACATCAGTGTATACCCTTTCCCTGTCTAACTCCCCGCAGCCAATGCTGGGTGTGTACCTGAAGGAATTAAAATTAGTATTTCAAAGGGATGTTAGTACTCCTGTGTTCATTGCAGCATTATTCACAATAGCCAAGATTTGGAATCAACCTAAGTGTCCATCAGCTGATGAATAGATTTAAAAATGTGCTAAATGAACAAAATGAAATACTATTTAGCCTAAAAAAAAAAAAGCAGGCAATTCTGCCATTTGCAAACATGGATGAACCTAGGGACATTATGTTAAGTGAAATAGGTCAGACACAGGGAGACAAATACCATATGCTCTTACTTACATGTGGACTCTAAAAAGGTAAAAATTGTAGAATTAGAGAATGGAATAATAACTACTATTTAATGTATATTTGGAGTTTGAATGACTAAATATACATAAAGTGCTTAGCACAGATATTTGAACATGTGAGATGTTATAGATATTTTTTCTCTCCTTTGCCCCATCTTTCCCAGTGTAATAAGGTTATGCTACAAGTTAGTCACTTAGGAATTCCAATTTGAGGATTCAGTTTGTGCCTTTTGCTGGTTCCAAGAAATCAATAAACAGCCATTGCATGAACAGTGTCACTATGTATAAGAACCTGAGAAGTTCAACTTCAGCAGTTCTTAAAGTCTCCCTTGCGAAGAAGGTAAGCTGAAGTGTCACAATTGGGCAAGAAAGTGAGTTAATTCTGATTGCAACAGCAGGCAGCTATGAAGACACTAATGTAATTCTGGATGCAAATTTCTATGATTTCTGCCTTCAGCCCTGTTCTGTTCAACATTCTATTCAAGACCTAGATCAAAGGAGAAGTTGATGAGCTTAGTATTCAGCAGAGAGAGATGGGTTGTATTGGCTAGAAATTAAGCAATGAGCTCCATTTGGCAAAATGCAAGTTCTGAAGTTAGTCTCTTAGAAGCAACTTAGGCTCAAGCATTTCAGTAGGCACTACCTTCTGGGTAATTAAAAATATGGGTATGCTTATCCTTAAATCCTTTAAAACTAAGTTCACCTGAAATCTATTCTGCAAAGTCATGCTTGAAACCTTGATCTGAGCTAAGTATTCTGGCAATTCCAACACATACTCCTGTAATAAAACTTCTCAAACAAATAATTTTAAAGACTCTTTGAAGCCAAGATCTTTACCTTATTATTTTTCATACTCCCAAAATCTAGTGTAGTGCCTGGCACATAGGAAATTTTCAATACATGATGGGGTGTTGCTGGAATAAAAATTCATTCAAAAGTAGTCAGTGTTGAGTTGACAACTTAATTTTCTAGGAGTATTAATTAGCTGCCCACATGACAAGGGAAACAGCCACAATAAAAGCATCCTGCCAGTAAATCAGGCATTTTGGCTGGTGCTTTGCAGTGCCTTGTAAATATTAGTAAGCATATTTCCTATTCTAAAGTAGGTTAAAAAAAGAACCCCAAACCTAAACTTATTAACTTTATTTCGTCCTCTTGAAAAACCTGCAGTTCCTTTATATTTATAACCATTAGAGTGAGGCATGTTAAATAATTCAAATGAGAAATCCTGGTTTCCACCTTTATGTATCTCTTGGGTTTTCCTTTGCTCAACCAGTCATCTGCAAAAATCATCAAATGTTTAAATTTATAGTCTGTGACTTGGTCACCCTGAACCTCTCGGTGGCCTGGAATGAATATGAGATGCTCTTACTTAGCGCTTGGAGCTCAGTTAGATATTAAGTTTTCCTTTAGTGCAATCCTCTGATGCCAGTGAGAGGGGGAAATCAGGAACAGAAATCAGATGATTCTGGCCAATCCTCTCAATACAATGAGAGAGTCAGTGACAGAAATGGGGCTGGATACTGGGTTTCTCTGTTGGGACTCATTTGATGCCAGTTATTAAAATTGGTTACTTAGAGCTGTGACATTGCACTTCATTGAGATGATGCAGGATTTGGACTCCAAAGTGTCTCCTGTATCCCCTGTCAGCAGCATGAGCCTGAGCAGGGCAAGAGTCAGTCCACACAGTACACACACACACACTTGAAATGTTCATCCACCCCGGAGACTGAGGTTTCTGTGCAAAGAGCAGTGCCAATGCACTAAAAATCACTAGGTTGTCTGTTTCCTTGTTTATGACTTCTCCATATAGTTGGTTCCACTCCAACTTATTTGAAAGGGACATCTGTTGGATGATTTGATGTGATGTCTGTGTTCCCCGAAAGTCTTCCCTGACAGGACGATGTAAAGGAACCTGAGAGGGAGCTCCATCATGTGCTGAATAGCTCTTAAGTGCAGGAACAGATTGGAGAGGATTATCCAAGACAATAACTTCAAGATCAAACTAGGCCATGGAGTTAGCCATGCGGCTCTGCAAATTCTTTGTGGCTCAGCCCTCTGGGGTCTCCTGTCACTGTGCTTGCCAATAATGAATTTCACTTCCATGTGGGATCTTTCAGGTCTTCTTGACACACTGAAGCCATATGTGTTTCAGTCACTTCAGACATCATCCTGCTCTTTAACTTGAAGAACAGTCTAAGTCAGTGAGGTTTGCCATGGCATCAAATCTCCTTTTAAACCCACACCGCTTGAATAATAACTATGATTCTGGATAGTTGACTCATGAATATTTCCTGAGAAGGAACAATGAGTATATTCTGAGGAAATTAAATCCACACAAGTAATTCCCAAACTTTATTCCATGTTTGAATACTTTCTAACTTCAAATGTGTTTACCAGACTAGTAACACATAGCAAAACCAACTGATAAGATTATCCCCTTTTCTTTCTTCCTCTTCCTCTACCTAACACTTCTCTAGTGTGGTACTAACTGGGGAAGTCACAAAGAGTAATTAGATGGAAAGGGAAATGAAAAATCAAAGATCGCTGCTCGCTCGCTCTCTCTCTCTTGTGTCTGTCCTGGTAATCCTGCTTCATAGGCAGAGTCCCTTTCTCAGAAAGGCCAAGTCAAACTCAGTCAGAGGGCGAAGTTGGAAAACCTCAGCAACCCTGTGATACGTGACACACCCACATAAGGAAGTGGTCCCTTACACACAGTTGGCTGTGAATATCTTCTTTAAAATGGTCTGACACTCATGGCCTATTTAATTTTTAGAGTCAGTCCTCAGGAAAGTCTGTTTTGAAATACTCCATAGCTTAAGACTATGGTAGTACCTTGTATAGTTATATGTAAAAATATCCAGGTAGCTTGCCAAGAAGAGAGGAAGCCAGAGATGATGCTTCTCTATAGGAAAATGACACTGTAGCCAGCCCCCCGCCCCCGAGTCCTGTGAAGATCCTCAGTGTACTGCTCTCTTCCCCTGCAGCTACCCAAGTGATATGCTGTGAATGACTGAATTCTAATCTGTAGTTACTATGAATTCTAATCTGTAGTTACATGAAAAAATCAATTTTGGAATAAGAGTTACCACCAAAAAGATTTCCATTTATTAGGCACCTACCAGGTGCCTGACTCTATTGCATACATTAATGATAATCTTTAATTTAGTTCTCCCAGGGAAACTTTCAAGGCTTTTTCACAATTTACACATGAGAGAAATAAGGCACAGGAAGGTTAAACAAACAGTTTAGAACAACTCAAGTGCAAGGACCTGGGGCTGAGTTCAGGTCCGCCTGTAAACTCCTTGAAGCCAGAACATTTTCTCTCTTTTATTCACTGATATATCCCAAGTACCAAGAAGAATCCCTGGCAAATTGTAGCTGCTTAGTAAATATCGAATGATTGCCTTAATGAGAGAATCCGGCACATGTACTTCTAACCATTATTCTCTACAGTTTCACCTCAGTCTCCTAATTCCAGTCCGTTACCTGTCTCTTTCTCCCATCCTATTTCCAAGGGAAATGGAACCCAGAGCTGCAGCTGGTACTGCAGAAAGTTATGTCTCTGTATACATCCTGTTGAAGGAATGGAGTGATTGTCAGGAGGCTGTCTCATTGAGTCTAAGGGCTTTATTCCCTTGCTCTCTTCCTTTCTTCTATCTCCTCTTGCTCCCTCAAAGATTGTCTGAGCTCTTGCTGTGTTCTGAGCACTGGAGACTCATTATGAACAAAGTTGGCATGGTTTCTGTCCTTATGCAAATTATCGATTAAAGGTACAGTGATTTTTTTTTTTTTTTTTTTTTTTTTACTCTTGTTACCCATGCTGGAGTGCAGTGGCGCAATCTCGACTCACCGCAACGTCCACCTCCTGGGTTCAAGCAATTCTCCTGCCTCAGTCTCCTGAGTAGCTGGGAATACTGGCGCACACCACCATGCCCAGCTGATTTTTGTATTTTTAGTAGAGACGGGGTTTCACCCTGTTGACCAGGATGGTCTTGATCTCTTGACCTCGTGATCCACCTGCCTCAGCCTCCCAGAGTGCTGGGATTATAGGCATGAGCCACCACAACTAGCCTTGGTGATTTTTTTGACAGAGAGGTACAGGATGTTATAGAAACATGTAACAAGAGGACCCAGACCTCTTTGAGGTTAGGGAAGACATCCATGCAAATTTTAACAAGACATACAGACAAACAAGACAAGACATACAGAGTAATTAAGAGTTCCTAAAGTATACGTTGGGTTTCCTGGAGGTCTCTGCCTCTGACACTTTTAGGGTGTTCAGAAGTTAAAACTGTTTTGCTATAATACTTTGAAGTCATTTTCCTTTTCATTTTTTTTGCATTACAAGTGTACAGTGGAGTTTCACAGAGGCTGTATAACATGATATCACAACAGATTAAATGCAGAAGCAGACATGAGAATCCATTTATCCTTCAGTAAGCCAGATATTGGTCAGATTTGGAAACAATGCAAAACAGCACTGCTAGTCTCACTAATGTCTTTTTGGTTTTGGAAAATGTGCCTTTTTAAATAAAATGTTACTTATGTTGAGGTGTAATGAGTTTACTGTGAAGTCTTAAAATGAATTAAATATTTAAAAATTTCCTGGTTCTAATTTACAACATAATATAATAATATAATCTACCATTTTAAAATAAAGGTCCCTGGGGTTCTTAATAATTTTTGAGAGCACAGAGGGGCCCTGAGCTCAAAATGTTTGAGAATTGCTGAGTGTTGCACAGTGAATAAACAGCCTTTGTAGAAGCCCTTCCCTGGTGTATGACTTGTAGTTTTGAGGATATTAAACAAGTCCATTGTGGTTGGAACATAGAAAGTGAGGGAGAAAGGATATAATATGGAGACGAATGGGTAAGCAGTGCCATATTTGGGGTTAGTGACTTAATCTTAGGTCAGTGGGAAGTCACTGAAGAGTTACGCAGGTTAGAATTGATGAGATAAATGTTGAAAGAGGAAGAAAAGGGAAATAAAAAAGGAAAAGAAGGTGGGGCACAGAGAGAGGAGAGGTCAGGGAGGAGGCTTTTGGGGAAAAACTTGGTAAGCTATGAGGGAGGGACGGTAGGGTCGGATAGAAGAGGATAGATTGAAATAATATTCTCAGAGAATCTAGAGGATTTGAGTTTGATTGTCAATAGGGAGTGATTTGTTTTACAAAAGAAGGAATGAATTCTCTCATGGTTTTTTTTAGTCATACTACTTGATTTTAAATTCTAGTGCTACCTAATTCTGTGACTGTGAGCAAATTATTTAAAGCTCCATGAGCTACAATTTTCTCAGTAAAGAAATAGGAATAAGAACCCCAATTTCATATGGTTGTTGAAGTTAATTTAAAAAGCACACATAGCTAATATAGCTGGAATATCATAATTATTTAATATTTGTTTCTCTTACTTTCTCTTAAACTTTCTTACCATTTTAAGATGCAGGGGGAAGCTGGCAGAATTCTTCAGGAAACATACATGATTGAGAAGGGAGTTTTGACACAATATGCAAAAGCTTCTCCTGTGATCACTGTACACACTGGAGGTGTGCTTTCCTCAAGCCCACGAAGGACTGTGCTCTCTCTAGTCTTCTATCTCTCTGTTTTTTTCCTGAGGACTACTCTGTCATTCAAGTTCACTTATTTTTGTCTTATCTGCTCCCTTTGAACTTGAAACTTTGTCCTGTTCTTCTTGTTCCGTAGTCTGATGCCTCCTGCTTTGTCCTTCACCTTTGTCTTCCCAAAGTCTTAGGCTAGCCTTCTCTATTTCTCAACTTTGTCATGCCCCTGACATTGCAAGACTCTCTTTCCTGGCAACTACCATCTACAGACAAAATATTAATAACCTGGGAGGAGTTAGGACAGAAACATTAAAATTATTATAAATAAAACCAGGGAGTACTTATGACTGGGGCCTGGACTACCTCTTGTCATTCTTATGAGTATCTTTTGAAAGGCTGTCCTCAAATGCATTAACTTGAGGATTAAGAGTAATACTCTTTTGGGCTGAAGCGAAAAGGAGACAGAGAGCTACAAGGTCACAGGACCATGACAATATGTTGCATTTTGCCAAGTGGCCCTTATTAAACAGAGCCCAGGAGGTAAGTGGAGGAGAGCATGGGTCTGGCAGTCTGCCCTGGGAAAAGGAGCTTTGTCTGCACGCAGGTTCCCAGCTCACAGACGGTCAACATTTGAATGGAGCCCATTGTTTACGACTTGGGTGGAAAACAGAGGAAATAGGCAATGAGTCAGGCTCCCACTTGTTTTAAAAGGAATTTTTAAAAGAGTTTCAGAGAAATCTAAGAATAAAAGTAGAAGTTTGAAGGAAGATGAGGGAGACAAGGACAAAATGAGGGTTGCTGGATGCTAACCGTGGGCTTGTCATTGCTGACAGCCTGTTATTCTGGATCTGTGGGTTCCAACCCTGAACCTGAATCCAATAGGGAAGCTACTTCTGGAGAGGAGCTTCCACTTGGGGAGGCGTTCTGAGTCAGCTCTAATCTGAAGTAGTTCAGAGTAAACTGATCTGCCTCCTTTCTCCATTTAAAGGACATTTGTTAAAAATGCCTTCCTCTTCAAAAGGCCTGCAGAACAGAGAGAGGGGATTACAGTGTGTATAATTTTTGAAGTACAGTGACTGATCAGCAAATGGCATAAACTTAGAATCTTATACAGGTCCTGCTTTCTGTTGACATGATTTTCTGATCTGCAGATGCCCTGACTGACGTTCCACTTTCCTATGGCTCAGTGTTTGGTGTAGAAATGGTCTTTCCATTTTGTCATTTCATTTGGGAAAAAATGTAAGATAGTGGTATGAATGCCTCTGAAAGGAAGGAAATGAGTTGGTGTCTATGGCAAAGACTCAACTATGTTCTGCTGAAAGCTCTGGTTTGCAATCCAAACTTGATATATAACCTTTTTTTTTAAAATTAATTTTTGGAAACCTTTTTTCCCCAAATTTGGAAAGGAGAAAAAAATTCAGATATTACAGAAAAATCTCAAGGAAGCAAATAAAATGGATCCCCAGAGATAACCACCATAGTATAATGCTATGTGTCTTTTAATATATGAAATAGTAAGATATGTGTATATATGTATATATAATTAATGGAATTTTTGTATATACTGTTTAGTATCCTAGATTTTTCATCTGTAATTTGTATCACAATTTTTATGTTATGACATACCTTACTCTTCCTCAACATAAGTTTGGAGGCTGTAAAACTTTATTAAATAGTTCTCTATTTTTAAACACTTAGATTAGTTTCAAGTTTCTACTATGAAAACACTTCTTACTGAAGTTTTCTAACAAATATTCACTCATTTGTTATTCAACAAGTATTTTTTTAGCACCCACCATGTTCAAGATACGAAATGAGGCAGTTAGTAGGGGGTGAAATGGTAAAACACAAATAGTCTCTTCTTTTAAGTGACTTACTTAAAAGGAAAAATCTCTCCTAAATAATTGTGACTGCTTAGGAGATGCCTTTCCTTTTCCTTTGGGTTTCACTTCCTTTGTATTCTCAGTAAGTCTGATTTATAAAGCTAACTTTTGGGGCTGGTTTATTAACTATTTTGTTAACTTATAAGCTAAATATATAAGTTACAAAGTGCTTAAAATATCACAACAATTTTTTATGATGGATATGCTTTTGTAAAAATAGGAACTGCACAGAGAAACAGCTGAAATTGGACTCCATGATAATCAGAAAAGCAGCATAATAATATCGAGCTCAGAAATTTTAATCTGCGCAGTATAACTGCAATTGTGCTTTGACAGCAGCAACTCAAATGGTGGTCATAACCTTACTTTACTGGGACAATGAAATATTTTAGTGGAGTCATTGGCATCTCACTCTGCTTCTGAAATCAGGGCCACCTCTATTATTACTTCCCCGGTAGAGATGACTGGTTTGCTCATTTGGTTAGCACACACTTTGCTGTGAAGTCGAGACTGTGGGTTTGATTTCATTTGGTTCAGTGATTCTCTGACTACTTCAGGACCATGTCAGGTTGCATTTCTTAATTCTAAGCATCCCTGGTAGAAAATAATATCCTTGTTATAGAGAAAAAGATGAAGAATGCAGAAATATTCGATTAAAAGTATCAGAGTCATGGTTGTAAAAGGCAGAATTTTAAGATGACTTCCATAACCCCTAAACTTAATATTACTCCCATATTATGTTATAAGGTGAAAGAGAAATTGTCCAGGTGGGCCTAGCTCATTGTGTAAACCTTTTAAAATCAGAGATTTTTCTCTGGCTGGGAGCAGACGAGGAAGTCAAAGAGATTTGAAGCATAAGAATAATTCAGCTGGGTGCGGTGGCTCAAGCCTGTAATCCCAGCACTTTGGGAGGCCGAGGCGGGTGGATCACGAGGTCGAGAGATCGAGACCATCCTGGTCAACATGGTGAAACCCCGTCTCCACTAAAAATACAAAAAAATTAGCTGGGCATGGTGGCACGTGCCTGTAATCCCAGCTACTGAGGAGGCTGAGGCAGGAGAATTGCCTGAACCCAGGAGGCGGAGGTTGCGGTGAGCCGAGATCGCGCCATTGCACTCCAGCC